CAACTTGAAAATTTGGGGAACTTTTTCGCCCTCACGTGAAACTCTCGGTCATGCGGATTATTACTTTTACAGAGCAGTGGTAAATGTGACCACACCTTCATTCCAAACCTGTATGATGTTATTTTGTTTCTCTGAAATGCAGAATTGAATAGAATTGTACAACTTTGATGGAGGGGAAGATTAACCAGTGAACAGATTATAGACTATTGTTCACACAAAACTATTACATGTCTTCAGAAGACTTGGAATATATACATGGACTTCTTCTATGGTGCATTTATGGTGCTTATACATTATCTGAAGAGAATTAAATCATTCATTCAGCTGTTCAGCAGTGCACAGTTGTGACGCAATGAAATGGAAATTAGGTGAGGTTATGTTTTTAAAGGTAGTTTTTGTATACCGCGCTGGCTAACAAGCGGGATCCCATGTGGCGCCTGAGGATGACATCATCAACACGTTGAGCTCAGAATAACTCACGCCAGTCTGGCATTTGGAGAATAATGCAAACCCTGCCGGTCAAATCCAAACCCTGCATTACCAAATAAACAGCCTTGATCACACGTTTAAGTGCATTCAGCTTTGTCTGAAAAGGCTGTGTTGTCAACACAGAAATGAAAAGAAGTTACAATCACAGCTTTGTGGATGTTAATGTGCGGGTGGAATGAAAGTTTTGTGTTTAGCTGAGCTTAAATGCGGATCTGAGAAACAGATGGTTGGGTTTATGATTAGGTTTAGATGTTTTAATTAGGTATGATTTCATTTATAGGAAGTACTGGTTTGAGTTTAACTTTGGCAAAAGATTTCGGATCGAGCTTCTAATCAAGCAGGTTAACCAAACAAACAATCATGAGATTAACCCTTTGAACCAGCATAGAAACTGTCAGCACTGGGTTTTAACCCCGTCGGGCAGAGGTGAGCCGGGGGGAGGACAGAGGAAGACACAACTGCTAAATCCACGGCTGAATGCTCCAGTGGTTTTGATCTTTCAACACATATAAGCTTATGAGACCTAAACCACACGAAATTCACCTTACCAAACTGAAGATCTGGTTTGGTGTGTGGTTATTACCAAAATATTGGGTAATGTGTTGAATAATCATGATGTAATCACAATAAGGTTGCCTGCGATATAAAAACCAAGTCATCTTCATGTTTTCATTTGCAAATATGAGAGGGTTAATAGAGTTGTTATAATGGCATCTCTGACACATGAGCGGCCTCAGAGATGAAGTGAAAGTGCAGTTAGCATCGCTAAAACGGTATCAATGATTCTGTTCAAAACTCTGATCACGTTTAATACTTTGTCAGATATTAAAATGTTGTAGTAAATATATTTTGTATAGTAACATATAGTAATACATATTAGGGCTGCCAGTTAAACGCGTTATTAACGGCGTTAACGCAAACCCATTTTAACGGCGTTAATTTTTTTAGCGCGCGATTAACGGTCTTTTTGGCCTAGCAAACTTTATAGTTTTTTTCACATGCTTTTGCCACAGGATGCGCCATGCGTTTTGAAAGCGCAAGCGGATCTAGCTAGACTGGAAACAAAACAACAGGCACGAAGCCGCACACACTTGTTTGGGCTTGCGAGCCGGCCAAATAGTAGGTTAACGTTACGTTTTGAGTGGATGACGAGCGCGAGACGCCAAAATGGATGCCAATAAGATTCTGAATGGAAAGTTTACTTTTAAAAAGTTGCCAAATGGTCCCATTGACAAGACCAAAGTGATCTGTGTGTTTTGTCGTTGTGAACTGACCTATCATCATCGCAGCACGTCCAGTCTGAAACACCACTTGATGGTCAAGCACACACACACACACACACACACAGCTGATGCGAATTCTACGCCCCCTCGTCAATATCAAGACCTCGTCAGTATTTCTTTCACCCTTTTATTGATGGACAGTGTTACATTGTGTGAGAGATTATTTGCTCCAAGTGAGAATGTTAGTGTGAAATTGAACACAGTATATACCAATGTTGTTTTCAATAAAAAAAACATTTGCACAAAGCAAGCCGATCCACTTTTCCATGTTGATAAGAGCATTAAAATGAGAAAAAAGAATGGGACAAAAAGAAATCAAGAGACATTTAGAATAAAAATGTGCGATTAATTGCGATTAATCGCGAGTTAACTATGACATTAATGTTATTAATCGCGATTAAATATTTTAATCGTTTGACAGCACTAATACATATAGAAACTAGCGATATATTGAAATCAATATGGTTACTTACAATAATAGTACTTTAAAAAAAGTACTTATTACGAAACGTACACACTTAAAAAGAAAATATAAGTGCAAAAATAATGTAATGATTTCAGACACTTAATTGCATGATATTTACAATTAAATTAAAATAAATTATTGTTTAAATGTATATTAAGTGCAAATAGCTGAACTTAAAAGTGTTTTTGTGGGACTTTAGTACATGTTTATTTGTAATTTCATACTTACATCTATTGTCTTTGAAATATGGTTAAAGTGTAAAGCTGAATAAACTGACACGCATTTATGGTGAACTAAAATAAACAAACATATTTGTAGTTACACATTTGTAATGTTGGAGGTACAATTTAGCACATTTGAAATATAATTCACTTTAAATCTAATATCAAGTAAAATTATAATCAAGCACGTCACAAAGCACGTGCTTTAGTAATGTAGTCAACACATAAAAATAAGAGTACTTCTTTAAAGCACAACAAAATACCAAAGCATGATTTAAAATTATTGAAAGATCACTTTCTTTAAGCACATTTTTTTATTAAAATATCTGACAGTTTAGTCTTAAGACTGGAAGTACACTACAAGTGCACATTTAATACAATTAAGTGCACTTATTGTTCACAAGAGAAGTAATGCTCTAAGTAATGCATTCAAGTATTTTGGAGACTTTATGCTCATTGACATCACACAGAATGATATGCCATTACACTGGCGTCAAGACCAGGTACAAAGATACTGAGCTGATGTTTTTGAGCATGTGTCTCTTTAAAAGAAGAAGAACACATAATACAAGTCCAGTTGAAAGAAAGGAAAGTGGGATTTACAGGCAGCAGAGGTCAGGGGTCACAATGCTGGATGCCTACAAACTAAGAGTGTTCTTTTCTGTCAGGCGCATCGCTCACTCTCACCAGGTCTACTGCATTCCAACACACACATGCAGTGTTTTTACTCCACTGGGCATGTTTTGGCCTTGTGTGTATGTGTATGAGTGTATGTGTGGGGTAAGGGTTAGAAAACAAGTGTGCGTGTGTGTGTGTGTGTGTTGTAGTCTGTTGTTATGGCAGCACACTGGAATGCTGAGCTCTCCACTATAAAGGCTCTTTAATGAACATGCTGTCTGTCACCATGTCCATGCTGAGATGTTCACACAGAGAGAAAGACAGAGAGCGAGATGCCAAATGCAATGCATGTGCTGCTGTGGGTGGTAAACTATATACTTTTCTATATGATTCCTTTTTAACTCTAAGGGCCAGATTTACTAAACAGTGCAAATTAGCGTGAGAGTGCACTTCCACAAAAGCGCAGATGGGGGTGGAGAGTTCTGCGAGTGATCCACTGACGACACGCAAATGAAAGAGCACAGACGCGACCGGATCATTTCCATAATGACAAACACAATCTACCGAGAGCAGTGCAAATTAGCGTCTGGTTTAAGACATGCTTGTTTTGGGCGGTAAAAAAATGGTGCAAATACCAGTAAATTGACCTTAGTAAATCGTGTTGCGATTATGCCTATTTTTACAAGATGTAAAATAAGTCTCTGATGTCCCCAGAGTGTGTATTTGACGTTTTAGCTCAAAATACCCCCAAAATAATTGTTATAGCATGTAAAAATTACCTCTTTTTGGGGGTGAGCAAAAACACGGCGCTTTCGTGTGTGTCCCTTTAAATGTAAATGAGCTGGTGCTCCCGGCTCCCTTTCAAGAAGAGGGCGGAGCTTCATGAGCTCGTGCTCCGGCATACCAGCAACAACAAAACAGGACAATCTCACGCACTGAGAATCTCAGAAGCTGTCAGTTGTGGTGTTCATCCTTATATGTTTGAGCCAGAGTCAGACAATGATGGACAGATTCAAGAAGAAGTGACAACATGTAGAATGCAACAGAACGTTTCTGAATGGCTAATCGATAAATGTATGTAATTGATGTGGAGTTAACTATCTTCAAGTCAGCGATTAGCATGATTGTGTGGGAAACTGTTGTAAAATGCCTACAGAGCCAGAGAATATATGCTGCATGGAGATAGAACAGGTATAGTTTGTTTAACTTATGTTGTCATCTTGCTTTTATGACATGCTATTGCATTTGTGTTACATACTGTATTGTAATAAAGGTGAAAAGATATGTAAGCCTGTTTGTTTAGACGTGTATTTCTCAAGCAGTCAGAGTTATAATGATTCAGCGATTTTGTTCGGGACATTTCCTTCGAAAATGAAATTGAAGCACAATGTCCTCAGTGACTCAGATGGCAGACTCGTATGTGCATTGGTCCATCCCAAAACACAACACTTCTTAATCCCTTTTTGGCAACGACTTTGTACAACTACCGAAAATTAGCGGTCTCTATGCTAATAGGGCAGATCGTCACCGGCTATGGGCGGGGCTTCGTCCTACGACGACGTCATCTGAAGAGACTGCTTTTGATTCATAAAAAATGAGTGAGTGGATGTTTACCATTATAGGCTGGCTGTTCTCATACACTGCGGACACACACACATTGGTGTTTCAAACACCTTACAAAAGTGAATTTTGCATAATAGGTACCCTTTAAATACTCTCCTCTCATAAATTTGGCATCAAAAAAGGGAAACTCCTACAAATGCATTTAAAGCATCAAGTATCTAAAGATATCGTTTACTACTGAGTTTTTACATGAATGCCATGGCAAGAAAAATGAGGCAACTTCTGAAAATAGATAAATAAGCTCAGGATTAGTGTGAGATCAGCATAGAGTGTGTGTTTGGCTGGTGAGGAGGCACTGACCCGTGTGGCTGCGGATGTGCACTCTCAGAGTGCCGTTACTGGCAAACTTCTGCCCGCAGTACGGACAGATCTTCTCCTTCTCTCCGGTGTGCGTCTAAAAGGGACGAGAAACACAGTAAAACAGATTATTCACATTTGAGAACGATCCTTGAAAACTGAAGTGATCTGAACTGATGCGTTTTGAACTGAGCTGATGTGATCAGAACTTTTATGAAATGAAATGATCTAAACTGAACCGAGGTCGTCTGGCCTGAAGTGACATGAACTGAGGTCATTTGGAAATGAGGTGATCTGAACTGATCCGAACTCAAATTATTTGAACTAAACTGACTGAAACTGAAAACTTTGTTTTCAAGTACCGTGTCTATTAGTGGTTAAAGCTACAGTAACGTCTTCAGCTAGTCAGCTTGAGATCCTTTCCATCTATACTGCTTATATGTCTTAAAGGGATACTCCACTTTTTTTGGAAATAGGCTCATTTTACAACTCCCCCAGAGTTAAACTGTTGAGTTTTACCGTTTTTGAATCCATTCAGCCGATCTCCGGTTCTGGCGGTACCACTTTTAGCATAGCTTAGCATACATCATTGAAGTGGACAAGACCATTAGCATTTCTCAAAAAAAAAAAATGACCAAAGAGTTTCGATATTTTTCCTATTTAAAACTTGACTCTTCTGTAGTTACATCGTGCACTAAGACCGACGGAAAATGTAAAGTTGTGATTTTCTAGGCTGATATGGCTAGGAACTATACTCTCATTCCTGCGTAATAATCAAGAAACTTCACTGCCGTACCATGAGAGCAGCAGGCGTAATGATATGACGCAGCGCCTGAAAATAGTTCCGTTGTGTTGACAGAAGGTAGCCTATTTTCAGGCGCTGCGTCATATCATTACGCCTGCTGCACTCATGGTACGGCAGTGAAGTTTCTTGATTATTACGCAGGAATGAGAGTATAGTTCATAGCCATATCAGTCTAGAAAATCACAACTTTACATTTTCCGTCGGTCTTAGTGCACGATGTAACTACAGAAGAGTCAAGTTTTAAATAGGAAAAATATCGAAACTCTTTGGTCATTTTTTGTTGAGAAATGCTAATGGTCTGTCCACTTCAATGATGTATGCTAAGCTATGCTAAAAGTGGTACCGCCAGAACCGGAGATCGGCTGAATGGATTCAAAAACGGTAAAACTCAACAGTTTAACTCTGGGGGAGTTGTAAAATGCCTATTTCCAAAAAAAGTGGAGTATCCCTTTAAGTCTTGTAGTGAATGTTTTATGAGCGGTGGGATAATCATATTCATCCGCACACACAGTCACGCAGAGCCAAAGCACAACCAAAACAATGTTCTTCCGCAAAATGCATATTGTTTTGTTTGTTTTTGTAACCGCAAGAGGGCCAAAAAAGCTTTATATGCGAAACTTCAACTTATCCAACTTGCAAGGATGCATGAGGATCTTTATGTAGAAATTATTGTTAAAAAAGTCAATAATAATTTTACGGGAGCTTCGGGGGAGTGCGACCTACCGACCCATAGCTCACTAGCGCATTAAACACATTTCTTACCTATGAAACTTATTTCATTTTCATATGAACTGCATATCACAACATAACAAAGCAACTTGAATTAATATATGTTAACTTGAACTCTTCCACTTTAAAACGAAGCGCAACATTTTGGATTTTTTTTCTCTCATGCAAAGCTACTCTTATGGCTTTAAAAGTCCTAAAATAAATGAGAACAACGTTTTGAGGTTATTATCATTTATTCCCCCTCATGTCGTCCCAAACCTGAAGGTTAGTAAATGATAATGCAATTTTAATTTTCGGGTGGATTATCCTTTTAACAGCCATGGTCACTATAAATGAGGTGTGGAGGCCATGTGAGGACTGGTGAGCATTTACTATTTGAAAAGAAAGTCATACCAGTTTAGAATGACAATAACTGGTATGACTTATGTAAAATGATGACAGAATTTTCAAATTTGGGTAAACTGTTCCATCAATCACTTATGTAAACCTCAGAGCCAGCATGTTCTCATGCAGATCTTTATTCATAGCGATGACATGAGCGCTATTGTTAAAGTTGACGGAAAACACATGAATCATATCATTTTTAGGCTGTATTCCCATAAAGCTGATGTAAACATGGCTTATCTCACAGCGCTGGAGGGAATATCTGCACCAGCTCCTGCTATTTTCTCCATCTCTTTATCTGTTCCCTCTTTTCCTACTCGCTTCCTTTCCCGCCTCATATCTCTCCCCTCCCATCTCCACTTCCTCACCTCTTCCTCTTTCTTGAACCCCCCTCTTTCTCTCTCACTCATAAAGTGTGGAAAGACAGTTTAAAATAGCATTACTCTTTCTGTCTAATCCCTTAAAATGCTCCCTGTGATGTCGTATAGAAACCTGTACACACACGCACGGACGCTCACACATGTCCACCAGATGCGTCTGTGTGCCATTAGTTTGGGGATTGTTTGTGACACGGCACTTAACATTTTGTAAGATACTCAAACAGTCCATTTTATGACTATAATATGACTGAAATATACCTGGTTATTACGCAGCTTCTTCAATACTTGATTTGGTCAATCATGGCAGTTACAGTTTTGCATAACGGCACTTTATAATTGATGTGTTATACGATACTAGTTTCATATCTTTATTGTGCTCTTCTCACATACAGTAATAATAATAATATATTAAAATGAAGTAAACAAAATTTTTAAAAATGTATTCATTCTGAACTTTAAAATTCTGTCAATTGTATGATATGTTTGAATAAATGTGTCATGAAAACAAGTTAATGCAGTTTATTGTGGTTTAAATGTTTATATTTTATGAACAAACTGGAGTAGAAACTATTCTGTTATTAAAAATGATTGATATAAAACTGCCTTATGTGCAATTTAACTCGGTGTTAGCTATTTGAGTGTTGATTATTAATTGATAATTTATTGTTTATGTCCGAATTCAGTGCATTCTGAATTTTCGGTTTCAGCCCATCATTTTAATTTCGGTGCATCAACAATATAACTTCATGTCAGGGTCCCGACCACGATTTATGGGTCATATTTTGGCCAGCTGACTGCATATTATTGCTTATGTAACCGTATTATACAAACACTCTCGTCTTAGGTAGTGAGAACGATCACATTCACTCACTCACACATACGTAATCCTATAATAATACAGTAAAGATTCAGTTGTCACACACTCCATCAGGATAAAACAGCTTTTTGCTTAAAATGTCAAGAAAAGAAAACCCAGAATCCCTCTATCATGACTGTGTGTGTGCGTGCGTGTGTGTGTGTGTGTGTGTGTGTGCGTGGTAACATACAACATTACTTCTACATCTTTCACTGCAACTAAGGACCGAAAAAAATATTAAAGGAATAGTTTTTAGCTATGCTATAACATGTTCTCCATCCATGTGGTCTTCGTTATGCTAGCACAGAAATCATTTCAGACAGCCTCAAAGAAAGTGATGTTTGAAACATTATGAAAACGAACAGGGTTTTTTTCCCCCCTTTGGAATAATGTGCAGTGACACAATAAGGGACATTCATTCAAAACGGTCAATTTTGATTTCAGGATCACAATAACTACTCTTTAAGAGTTTCATATCAGTGATGGTGTGTCTGGCATGCAGCTGGGCTTCTGTTCTCTGCACGCTGTCAGAAAGTAAATGAATATGGTAAAGTTGCTTTACTCTTGTGCCAACAGTAGGTCACATTTTTCAGTCACAATGTCAGATTCAGCCCATGCTATCTCAACTGCTTTAAACCTAGACTGGAGTTTGGTGTCACTGTGCTACTGTTCGTGTTAAGTGGTTTACCTGAAGTATAAATCTGAGATGAAATTGAATATGAAGTTGATGGTATGTGAATACAATCATCCTCTGTGTAGATGGAGCAATAAATCATGATAGAGCTGTGGTACGCTATGATAGGAGGGAATGTGCTGGATATAAGATGATTATGGAATTGAGTTTCACCGTGTGTGAGGAAACACACATTGGAAACATTACCGTGCTGAAATACATGTGAGCTAAATTTAAAAAATAATAAAGGTTTTTCAAATTTAACCTAAAAGTGCTCTTATTAGAAAACAGAGATCATAACTGCATATTCAAATTGCAATTACATTTTGGTTCAATAAAACACATACTGGGTAAGTTTCACAAAATATGTCATATATATATATATATATATATATATTGAAGTGGAGGCATATTGATTGCTCTGATCACTCTTTTGTGATATTGGCCGACTGTACATTATCATGCTTATAACACAGCTACTTACGAAATAAATAAATGGACATAAATTATTGGTTTGAGTTATTGTATTATGTGTGAGAAGTCAGCGCAGATTGATAAAATAAAAATAAAAATAGCAGTTATGTAGGAAATAGGTGTTCTTTGACCGCAGGATGTCAGGATTGACCAATCAGAATTTCAGGATTAAAAATAATTATATATATTTATACACTCACCTAAAGGATTATTAGGAACACCATACTAATACTGTGTTTGACCCCCTTTCGCCTTCAGAACTACCCTAATTCTACGTGGCATTGATTCAACAAGGTGCTGAAAGCATTCTTTAGAAATGTTGGCCCATATTGACAGGATAGCATCTTGCAGTTGATGGAGATTTGTGGGATGCACATCCAGGGCACGAAGCTCCCGTTCCACCACATCCCAAAGATGCTCTATTGGGTTGAGATCTGGTGACTGTGGGGGCCATTTTAGTACAGTGAACTCATTGTCATGTTCAAGAAACCAATTTGAAATGATTTGAGCTTTGTGACATGGTGCATTATCCTGCTGGAAGTAGCCATCAGAGGATGGGTACATGGTGGCCATAAAGGGATGGACATGGTCAGAAACAATGCTCAGGTAGGCCGTGGCATTTAAACGATGCCCAATTGGCACTTAGGGGCCTAAAGTGTGCCATGAAAACATCCCCCACACCATTACACCACCACCACCAGCCTGCACAGTGGTAACAAGGCATGATGGATCCATGTTCTCATTCTGTTTACGCCAAATTCTGACTCTACCATCTGAATGTCTCAACAGAAATCGAGACTCATCAGACCAGGCAACATTTTTCCAGTCTTCAACTGTCCAATTTTGGTGAGCTCTTGCAAATTGTAGCCTCTTTTTCCTATTTGTAGTGGAGATGAGTGGTACCCGGTGGGGTCTTCTGCTGTTGTAGCCCATCCGCCTCAAGGTTGTGCGTGTTGTGGCTTCACAAATGCTTTGCTGCATACCTCGGTTGTAACGAGTGGTTATTTCAGTCAAAGTTGCTCTTCTATCAGCTTGAATCAGTCGGCCCATTCTCATCTGACCTCTAGCATCAACAAGGCATTTTCGCCCACAGGACTGCCGCATACTGGATGTTTTTCCCTTTTCACACCATTCTTTGTAAACCCTAGAAATGGTTGTGTGTGAAAATCCCAGTAACTGAGCAGATTGTGAAATACTCAGACCGGCCCGTCTGGCACCAACAACCATGCCACGCTCAAAATTGCTTAAATCACCTTTCTTTCGCATTCTGACGTTCAGTTTGGAGTTCAGGAGATTGTCTTGACCAGGACCACACCCCTAAATGCATTGCAGCAACTGCCATGTGATTGGTTGATTAGATAATTGCATTAATGAGAAATTGAACAGGTGTTCCTAATAATCCTTTAGGTGAGTGTATATCATGGATCTTATCATGAGCACATGCACTAACCACTACACCGGTTTTGAAGTAAAAAAGTGTTTACCCTCTCCATCATCACATATGTGAGCATGCAAACTCAACTCATGACCAAACCAAGACTGGATCTAAAGTGACTTAAAGTCCCCCTGTGGTCAATAATTGCATCCCTTAAAACTCATCTCCGATCACCAAAATGACATATTTATACGTTTTTTTCTTGAAATAAAATTCTTCATGGCTTAAAATATCTTGAATGTAACTCGACACCCGTGCCTCATTTAGTATACGAGGTTCTATGAATATGCAAATGAGCCCCGCCTCCACTCACTCACTCAGCTCAGAGATCCACTGGTTGACGATCACACTTTGATCTGATTGGTTACAAGGTTTGTGGCGTCACAAACACCAGCGATTTCAAACCGTGTTTTTGAGACTGTTTTTGGTTCACTGCAGTTTTAAGCAGAAAATACTCAGCAATGCTGTCGACTTATGAATTTACACATGGTTTGTCTTAAAGCGTATAAAAAACACACAAAACTTGATTTTCACCACAGGGGTACTTTAAAAATATAATAAAGCACTTCACATGTGCTTTAGTAAGTTAGTCAACACATCAGAATAAGTGTACTTCTTTAAAGCACAACAAAATATCAAAGCATGATTTAAAATTATTGAAAGATTACTCTCTTTAGCAATGGTGTCGACTTATGAATTTACACATGGTTTGTCTTAAAGGATGTTAAAAACACCACATAGACACATAAACAACATTAAAAGCTGGATTTTCACCACAGGGGGGATTTTAAGAGTTGTAAAATGTGTTACACAAAGACAGGCTCACATTAGCAAAATTTCATGCAAAAAAAAAAACACAAAGGATTCATTGTCTATTGTCCGTAGTAGGGCTGGGTTGAAAATATCGATTTCTCGATTTTAATCGAATTTCGTTTTTGATGAACCGATATTGATTCTTAAATCCCAAGAATTGTTCTTTCGGTCTACGCTGTTGATGTGTGAATATCCATAATCTTGTTAGTCAGCTAGAAAAAAGGAGAATTTTGCTAAATATACGCAATACATTTTTACATAATCTGTTAAGACTGATACGATCTTGGCTTATTTTGTGCTTTAGTACATTATGTCTGTGATTATGAATTCACCTTCTTGTGGCTCTTGAGCACAGATGGCGTGACGAAGGCCTTCTCACACAGGTCGCACTTGTACTTCTTGTGGCCGTCGTGTACGACCTGAATGTGCACGTTGAGTGTGTCCTTGCGCTTGAAGGTGGCGTCACACTGGTCGCACTTAAACGTCCGCTCACCTGGACAGAGAAGAGCAGAAGATTTCTCCCTGTGAGATGGTTAACTTCAGAAACATGTTGACAGCCATTGTTCCACATTTAAAAGCGCGCCATTCAATCGTAGCTTTACAGGAACTCGCTTTGTATCCGAATCCATTTCGCCGCCCTCGGAGTCAAAATTGTCCCATTACCCTTTAACGAGCCACTTTTTCCTTTCGAGAAAAGGACGTCAGCCCTCTATTTCCAGCTGCTTTGGAAGATGGAAGGGTATAAACGGAAAGGATAAAACATCAGGTAGAAAAAGCTAGGAACGGTTCACCTCTCAAAAGGAGGTCACAGTCCTTTTCAGAAGATGGCACTCTGTTCATCTTCCAAAGCTTTCTTCAAATCCCACAAAATCGTAAACGACGCAGAGGAACGTAAATATGTGCTGTGAAAGCAGGCTCTTCTGCTCAAACAATGGCTTTCTGTAACAAACACGTAGAGTCTGTGCCAAAACTCTAGTTCTGCTCTTTAAATGGTTGAATAGAGTCCAACACGTCACCACATCTAATCACCAGCAGAACAGACTGGATGCTGGGTTATTAAAACCTGGACTATGAACAATGTCTTTAAATTAATGGGCACGCAGGGCGGCTGTCATCGCATAAGATGCTAATCTTCCTGCGTTTCCGTACCAGTGAATCTCTTCATTCATAAGGTGGTTTTGTTGGCATTTGGACGCATGTCAGAGCCCATAAAGCTATGTGCTGCGTTCTTGAAAGAAACCGGGTATGATGACGTACTGTAACTCCATCTTTGATCACACATGATGGGAATTACATGTAAGCTGGTCTTGTCAGGTCAGCAACTGGTTGAAGTCACAATCCACAATCGCTGTATTGTAAGAGATTGCTGGTGTGTTCATAATTTCAAAACAAAGCTCCACATGCAAGATATCATTTCAGATCTTTGATGACATGGGGAATTCTGGGAAAGGTGATGGAGGTATTTACGCTCCTGGGACTGAAAGACTAATATTTGTCCTTTGCCCAAAGCAGATACGACCACCAACAGCATTTCTGCATCAAAACATGTTGGGTAGTTGGTCCAAATTCACTTTGTCATTTGTGTTTTGAACTGAGAAGATGACACAGACGGGTCTCGATGTAGTGTTTAAAATGGTTCTAAAGTGTGCATTTCCTGGATGTCTCGAATCGTGAGAAACCAACGAGAAAACGTAAAAGTGCCTTAACAACGCCGCAAAACGAATGGTTTACCTTTCACACGTTCCCCTTAAATGATGGTGAGCGTCATCTCCTCAGTTCTCCCGCGACGCTCTCGTGAACTCACTCAGACCCACTCGGAAGAAAATCAAAAGTTGAATAAAGTCGTTATTTCTGGGTTTTTTGGTGCACAAAAAGTATTCCCATCGCTTGATAAACTTAAGGTTGAGCCGCTGTAGTCACTATTTTAACGATGTTTTTACTAACTTTCTGGGCCGGCAAGTTTCAGTCCCTTAGAAGCCTATGGAGGAGTGAGACAGCTCTCAGATTTTATCAAAAATATCTTAATTTGTGTTCCGAAGATGAACGAAAGTCTTACGGGGTTGGAACAACATGAGGGAGAGTAATGAGAGTAGTACTGACAGAGTTTTCATTTTTGGGTGAACTAACGCTTTAATTTCTTTAAATATAGAAAATCTTACCGACCCCAAACCTTTGAACGGTACTGTAATATAAGCTGAACAATTTAATTATAGCAATTGCAATGCACACATGGAAATTTTTTTTTTAACATACGGTAATTACTCATAACATATATGGAAACAGAAATGGTGAATTATTATATTTTGGAAGTGTTAATTGCTCAGGAGGTCTAGTACAATGCCATTAATAGCAAAATATTGGTTGATTTGTCCATAGCTTCTGCAATGTATATATTGAACTTGTGTAAAAAAAAAAGTGTAAAAGACGCTACGCCAAAAGACCCCTATAAAGAACCACACACACACACACACTCACACACACACACACACAAAGGAGGGTGTTTGTGAAATATTTGTGGAGGACTTACCCCACTGAGCCACTCGGGCCTTTTACAACGATAATGTGTGTTTAATAGATGGTCACAAAAACAGCTTTATTTCATAACCAAATATTGACGCAGATTGATCAGATTATGTAACAGTGGGCCATAAGTGATCACACACAAACACTGTAAATACAGCAGAGCAACACATTGTTTCTCTCTGTGTAAGTCCTCTCCACCAGATACATAAAAGAGTTTTAGCCCAGTGTGTGTGTGTGTGTGTGCCTCTGGGGAGGACAGCAGGAAATTCCTCTAGCTCAATAATCTCAGTGTGATCAGTCTAGACTGGGCAGAGCAGAGCTGAGACCATCCTGGCTCCACGCAGACACACAGCCCAGGGTTCAGGGGGGTACACAGACACAGAGCACTCGTGTTGCATGCGTGTAACACACACTTACTGTTGTGAATGAGGAGGTGGCGCTGTAAAGAGAACGGGGTGCGGAATAGGGCCTTACACTCTTCACACTGGAAAGGCCTCTCCTCCGAATGCGTCTACAGACAGAGAAGCAGGTCAGAGAACTGATTTAGGAGATGTGTTTATTAACGGGTCAAAAACAACAAAACGCAATTCATAATGCATTTAATTTACATAATGTGAAGTGTCTGGACATGGTGGAGGATTAAGCAAACGAAAAATATCCCTTAGATTTGAAGGTGGAATCTAAGGGACTGGAGAGTGCACTGATTGACCTGGGCTTGAACCACCCAGAACACCCTAGAAACCACAAACATACTGGGAAAGACTAGTGTGTGTCCATGAAAAAAAAAACGGTGCCCTTTTAGGAAGTCTTGATTTAGTTTTTGGGGTGTACTAAAATATGTTCTCATGCTTGATTGTTCAAAAAACACATTATTTTTCACATATTGTACATTATTACAGCACCTCTCTCCCCAGTCTGGCTCGAACACGCCGATTCCGTGCTGTGATTGGTTAGCTAGCCCAGTGTGTTGTGATTGGGAGGTCTTAGCATGTGTTCGGGAAATGTCCCGAATGTTACATTTCCTAAGTCAGATCAGTCTTTGCAAATCAGCCCCTGTCATTGCAAAATGATGACATTTTATATACGTTTTCATTTATTACTAATTAGAGTCATTTATTAAGAAAGTAAATGATGCCGCCTTATCAATCTAGATCTGAATGTTGCTTTTCTGTGCTCTTTTCTCCATTTCATTCACACACTCTCTGTTCGGAGCTGTGTTGGGTTTTGGGCTTCATGTTATCTGCGCGGTGTAAAGGTCAGGGGTCGCGTGGGGTCATTACAGGTCAGGGTTAGGCTGAAGGGTTTGATTAGGCTCCACAGTGGCTGATTGGGCTCCAGATCTCCATTAAGATAAGACGCCAGAAGTTTATTTGGCCAAAAAATCTGTCAGATCAATCAATCGGCCTCTCCACTCATCCGTCTTTCCAGTTTAATTCTGCCTCTCTGCCCCACTTTAAACTGGGACATCAGAAACACAGGATCCAGGCCTTTCAAGACATCAAGAATAAACACATCAGCACCTTTTTATGGTTTTTGTAGACGTTGCGGTGAGCGAACTCCTTCCAGCACACCTTACACTTGTAGGGTTTATCTTCGCTGTGGATGATCTTATGAGCAGTGGCCTGATCCAGACGCTTGAAACTTCGATTGCAGATATCACAGGTGTACGGACGCTTTTCTACAAACACAGAGAGAACGCAAAGCCAACACCATCTTCGTAAACAATGTTTGACTCATGTGTTGTTTGTATATTATTCGTATGTACGTGAGTGCATGCTCTTTACCAGAGTGTGAGATCATGTGTCGCTTCAACTGATTCACGGAGATGAACTTTTTATCACAGGCGGTACAGTCAAAGACCTCATGAACCTGAAAATACACCAACATTATAACATGTAAATACAAAGAAAAGGAATTCAACACAATACTTGCAAGTCTTTAAAGGAGATTTCATGCAAAAAAAAAAAAAAAAAAAAATCAATTTCTCACCCTCATGTCACTTCAAACCTGTATGGCCTGTATATTTTGAAGGATTTTGGTAGACAATTTTGGTTACCATTTACTTTCACTTACGGACAAATATCTTCTGTTTCACAGAGGAAAGTCATACAGGTTTGAAACCTCATGAGGGCCCTTTAAGGGCTCAAAAAAATAACTTCCAATCGCTGCGCTGAACTTTCAGTGTCACAAACTGTGTTTAGTAACCACAAAGTAAAACACACTGACAGACCAGACCAGAATCGAACGCTCAGCGTATGAACGTAATGACCAGAACACATCTGAAGTCTCTTAATGGACCATTGAGGGTGATTGCTGAACTCTTGGGTGGGATTTAGTTGCCTGTTCTTAGTGTGTGACCTTGAAAATATCCTCAACCCAACTCACAGAGGACAGCACGCACACACAGATGGAAATGTAATTAAACTTCTGAGCGGTTTTGAATAGCTCCTCTGCTAAATACAATTTTGCTCAATGGGAAGAATTCTTCGGCTGAAAAATGTTCACATTTCAGTCAGATTTCTCACAGGGAATCAGGAGGTACAAATTACAGTGAACTCTAGCCAGTCAGTTTCGGTTGAAAATTACAAACGGTCAATAATAAAACTGTCAAATTTTCTCCGCTACTTCATCCAATATGATGAAAACAAGGCGCCACATGTGTCACAGTACTTGATGTAAATCCAGAGTCGAGTGTACTTTGAAACACTATCTTTGCGAGCTACAGGCTACTAATAATTTAAAGTACATAAACCGCAGTCAGTTGCTCTTTTGAAAAAGTAATTGCATTACATACTATTATATAGTATTCGTAAAGTATTTATTTCTTCCAACAACTTCAAGTGTGACAGGTATGTTTTAAATGAATTGAGATCATAAAAATAAAAAATATAACTGATTCAAAAACATTTGTTACACGATAAGACGCAAACTGAGTGACAACTCAAATTAACTGATTCTTTTAACTAGTTCATTCAAACAAACTGTATGAATAACCCGATTCAATGAAATGAACTTGAGTAAGAAAGCATTCTGGGAGTCGTGCAATTGTTTTCTCGTTTCACTCAGCTCTAAAGCTACAATAGAATGCAACATAAAAAACAAAACAAATGTACTGTCTTCATACGCTGTATGGGTTGCTGGACAAGATTTAATGTTTAATGTCAAAAAATTAGCCACAACTATAAATCTGAGGGATTTTTCCAGTGGTATTTTATTGCCCTTCAACAAGGCTTTTGCAGCAATGCCTCCTTATGATTCTGTTTTGTTCAATTTCAAGGTCAAGTCAAGTACATGTAAAGCTCAAAAATCGTCTCTGTGAGAACCTATGAAGACTTCTAGAGGGCATTTACAGGGTGGGGTAAGCTGTATCACAAAATGCAGAAGTCCACTACACTAATTTACATATTTGTAAAGGTATAGTTCACCCAAAAATGACATCTCTGTCATTATTTTCTTGCCCTGATATCATTCCAGGCCTAAGTCATTCGATCATCTTAAAAGCCCTGTTCACCCCTGGTGTTAAGAGTGTTTTGGTGGATCGGATCACAAGTGGACGAGGGAGACACATTCCTGTTTACACCTGGTGTTTTAATCCGTCTCTTTTGTCCACTTTCCACCACTTCTGTCCTGATTACTTCGAGGGGAGGGTCTATGGGCGGGTAAATGTATGTTTTTCAGATCTTTCGATCTAATGGACAAAATAAGCTCACACAATTTACATGTAAATGCGACCGGAGACGACAGAAAAACATATGGAAAGCACCAGCTTTCATTTTTTTTGTGATACAGTGCAGTGATTGGATTAAAAAAGTCTCATGAATAATGTGGAGAAAAGCTCAGAAACTGATGAGGTAGACAGGTACTCTCCGGCCCCAGCAGCCAATCACCACTCCGAATTAACGCATACACCTCACTTTTCATGACGTTTGCTTAACTTAGCTTTTTCAACTGGAAGAACATAATGGCTAAATATTTTCCCTTAATAATACATAGAATGAGTACTATTTTTGTTTTCAATGATGCCCATTGATGCTTTAAAAAGTTTATAAAGAGATCATAAAAGTAATCCATGTGAACTAAGCGGTTTAGTCCAAGTCTTCTTAAGAGACACAGTAGCTTTATATGATGAACAGATTTAATTTAGACTTTAATTCATATATAAACATATCAAATATGATCAACCGCAGTTCAACCATACTTGCTTCCTCTTTATGGTCCAATTTTTGGTTTAATGGACTTCAATGGAGGGGCAGAAATCTCTTAGGTATTATTAAAAAATATCTTAATTCGTGTTTTGAAGATAAATGGACATCTTATGGATTAGGAACGACATGAGGGTGAGTAAATGACTAAAACAATTTAGTCAAATTAACCCTTTAAGTAAAAACTGGCCCATCTTACTCCAGTCTGTGAATACATCTGCTTTTGTATGGTCAATAAATGTGAAATGCCACTATTACAGCCCTGAAACTCTTGAAACTCTCTAGTGTTTTTAAATATTGAGAGCAGAGCTACACGCTCTGCAGCTCAATTCATATCTCTAACAGCTTAGTTTTCTGTGAAACGCTTGGCACTCGTAATCTTCTCATGCCAGTTTACGAACCTATAGAGATATAGTCTGCATGTGGAAGAGACTCTAAAGAAAGCCATTGAGCTTCCACCCTCACAGAGCAAATCATATTTGCAGGCTTTCCAAATGACATTGCTGGTACGAATGAACTGCAGTCAGATGGACATGGTCTGGTGCAAAAAGGAAGGTTGGACATCTATTACTCAGACAAAGATGGAGAGAGATGGAGAGCCAGGAAAAAGGTCTGCGACCAAATTGCATGTTTGTATAACGGGCAGCCTAGGAAATCAAGTAAGGCCACAGAGATTTAAACTTCATTCTGCTGAAATTAAACTTAAATTCATCATGCAGTGAAGGTTTTCTTAGACCTACATAATGCCAAAATTCTTCCATCAATGAGTTCAGAAAGGTACATGGGTACAGTTGTGCATAAAAAACCTAACATTTTAAAAGATTAGCTTCCCCCTACAATTTATTTTAGCTGGAGAGACTTTCTTTTCATATATTATAAACAGCAACTTAAACAACATCCACACTCTTTTTGCTACTGTGGAGAGACTAACAAACCCTACGAGTCACATTCCCAGTGAACTGCTCTCTAAAAGCAAATGCAATGAGTTTGTTTCCATTAGCCACCATGTCTGATTCTGAGGCAATTGATGGTAAAATCTTGGAAGAAACTAAACTGAATCTTAAAACATCAGCCTGCTCCCTTGAAACACTTCCCACATCTTTTTTTTTTTTCAAAAGTGTGTTTAAAAAGCAGATCTTCTAGAAGTGGTCAATGCCTCACTTCTTTCTGGGACTTTTCCAGAGTTCCTGAAAACCACAGTTGTTAAACTCCTCCTGGAAAAGAGTAATCTGGATAACACAATTTTGAGCAAATATAGACCAAACTCAAATCTTCCTTTCATAGGCAAGATGGTCATAAAAGTGGTTTTCAATAAGCTGAACAAATTCCTAAGCTCAAATGGATACTTGAACAACTTTTAATCTGGTTTCCGACTGCATCATATGCCCTTTGTACACAGTAGATGAGGGAGACATATTCCCGTTTACACCTGGTGTTTTAATCGTCTCTTTTGTCCACTTTCAACCACTTCTGTCCTGATTTCTTCGAGGGGAGGGTCTAAGGGTGGGTATTGGGTAAATGTTTGGGCTATTTCAGATCTTTCGATCTAATTGACGAAATAAGCTCGGGCAAACATATGAACGAGACAGGAGATGTCAGAAAAACATACGGAGAGCATCAGCTTTTGTTTGTGCTCTGACAGACGCAAGAACAGCCGAACGCTGTGAGTGTGTGTTAGAAATCAGGAATGGTGAGAGAACCAAACTTCTAGTCTTCAAACCAAACTTGGGTCTTCAGCCAAAAAGTTTAAATCCCATCTGGCTAGCACTCTTCCCATGTTCACACACTAGGTCAGTAGGCGGTCTTTCGAGTGCATTCAACCAGATGAGCGTTTAAACTACAAAAGCAATCCGATCAAATGCGTTTTCGACTACCTCTGGAAGTGGTGGAAAGTGGAAAAGCTCAAACAGTTTTAGACCCCGTCGACACCTGGGATCTAAAACTTTTAGACCCCGAAATTCTCGAGGTGAACTGATACCTTGACTCTTGGGGTCAAAAAAACTAAAAACCAAGTCAGGAATCTTGGTGTGATTTTGGAGTCAGATGGAGTTAGATGTTTTGTTTCTAATCAAGAATCAGAGAAACTTGTTCATGCTTTTATCACCAGCAGGGTGGACTTTTGTAATGATCTCCTAACCGGCCTTCCCAAAAAGATCATAAGACAGTTGCAGCTCATACAGAACGCAGCTGCCAGGAGTCTGAGCAGGACCAGAAAATATGAACACATCACACCAGTCCTCAAGTTTTTACTCTGACTTACAGTAACAATTACTTGTTTATAAATCACTCAATGGCCTAGGACCTCACTACATTGAAGATATGCTCACTGAATATTAACAGATCACTCAGAACATCAAGATCAAGACAGTAAGAAATACCTAGGGTTCACTCAAAGCAAGGTGAGTCCGCTTTTAGCTCTTAAGCCACCCGTAGCTGCAACCAGCTTCCAGAAGAGATCAGATGTGCTCCAACAGTAGTCACATTCAAATCCAGACTATATCTATATTATATATGTTTCCTTCTCTTTATTTATTTTTTAGAACTGTTTTAATACATTTTAAATACATTTTTTGCAACTTTGCTTTTATTGTTATTTGTATTTCTTGCGATGTAGAATGCCTTTGGTGTGAGAGACCCGGGTTCGAATCCACTGTGAGACACCAATGACAAGACACTTAACCCCTAGTTGCTCCAGAGGCGTGCGACCTCTGACATATATAGCAATTGTAAGTCGCTTTGGATAAAAGCGTCAGCTAAATGAATAAATGCAAATGTAAATGTTAATGTAGAATAAATGTATAAATGTTTGACTAACTGGATAGATGTAAATCTCAATTCGACATCCTGCAACTGCAGTGTATCACTAATGAATATTCTAAATATTATAACTTTAATTTATTTGAATGTATTTTTGTTTAAGAGCAAGAAAATGTCTAATAAAACAAAAGAACATAAAGCGGCAAACAGGTTGGATTTAACACTACCTGTGGGACGAGTTTTACAGAAACATTAGCATTTCCTCTCTAGAGTAACCGACCGCTGCCGTACAATCAGAAACACACACCAGAGCGGCAAACGCAGATGATGCTCTTGCAGGTTGAAGCCAAATCCGGACAGCTGTGACTGGAAAGACTCGGTCTCAGAACGGCTGCACTGATAACTGCTGATGAGTGAACGCTGACAGGAGGAAGTGCCTGTTTTACGTCAAGTTTAGGCAAAGAGAGCGACGATAGCATTCTCCAGGCCAAAACAGAAAGGGATGTTGGTTTGGTGGAGCGGTGGAAGCTCGGGATGCATTCCAATTGTAAGACCATTAAAACTGCATTGTGGTTCACTTCACCTACCTCCTTCAGTCAGAAACTCAAATTACCTTCATTTGTCCCTCTCAACTCACTCTACCAAGGTTTAAGTTGCGGTTTCATTGAAAAGCATCTAAAAAGTGGTATATATTTTGAAAAGGAAGCCCACATACCCCAACCATGAATATTCCCAAGAGAAAATGAACCAGGAACAGTGAAGAGAAGCTCAGAATTCTGACTTTTGTGGTGATTTTCGAGATGGTGATGATGATGATGATGAATTCATCTATTTGTTTGAAGCTATTTGTCTGATATTTCTCAGGTCTTTTTGCAGAAGGAACCCTGACGCCAGCAGGAAGACCGGGCAGTCTGGTCTCCCAGCTCTTAAATTTCACAAGGGCCACAGGGATGAGCTTGTGAAACAAAAGACGACCTTTCTGTACACACTCACACCAGTGGAAAACCTTACAACATCAACATGAAGCCCACCTCCTACTGAGAGACAGAGAGATGGACGGCATACAAGAGCGAACCAGAGTCTAAGACGGCCAAATTTCATATTTTTTTAGTTTCCTAATTTCCTAGCTTTTCAAAAACAATGAATAAGATGAGGAGAAAATTATGTATATGGATCATACAGCAGCCAAAGAAATAGAAAAAGAGGAAGTCGAAAACACAAGCAAGACATGAGAGATGGACAAAAAGAGGCCTTGTCCTAAATGGCGCACTTGACGTGGATTTATCTTCTAGTGACCTTCATCTGTGACTGTAAGATGTCCCATTTGTCATTTTAGTATGATGTTTTAGTCATATTTAAGTGTGAATTTAATATTGATTAGAATAATTGTATTTTTGTGATTATGCAGTTTTAGCAACAGATGTTGTTTGTGTACATGCATAGTAACATTTGGTGTCACATGTATATTTGGCAGACATGTTCACAAGTCCCTAAAGGCTAAGTCCTAGTCAAGTCTCAAGTCTTTGGGTCCAAGTCCAAGTTCAGTCTCAAGTCTTTGGGGTCCAAGTCAAGTATCAAGTCTTTGGGTCCAGGTCCAAGTCCAGTCTCAAGTCTTTGGGGTCCAAGTCAAGTATCAAGTCTTTTGGTCCAGGTCCAAGTCCAGTCTCAAGTCTTTGGGTCCAGGTCCAAGTCCAGTCTCAAGTCTTTGGGGTCCAAGTCAAGTATCAAGTCTTTGGGTCCAGGTCCAAGTCCAGTCTCAAGTCTTTGGGTCCAGGTCCAAGTCCAGTCTCAAGTCTTTGGGTCCAGGTCCAAGTCCAGTCTCAAGTCTTTGGGTCCAGGTCCAAGTCCAGTCTCAAGTCTTTGGGTCCAGGTCCAAGTCAAGTATCAAGTCTTTGGGTCCAGGTCCAAGTCCAGTCTCAAGTCTTTGGGGTCCAAGTCAAGTATCAAGTCTTTGGGTCCAGGTCCAAGTCCAGTCTCAAGTCTTTGGGTCCAGGTCCAAGTCCAGTCTCAAGTCTTTGGGGTCCAAGTCAAGTATCAAGTCTTTGGGTCCAGGTCCAAGTCAAGTCTCAATCTTTGGGTCCAAGTCTCACGTCTATGGGTCCTAGTCAAGTCTGTTGTGTGTATGGCTACTATCTTGTATGTAGCATTTTAATATGTTGTGTTTATTTATGGCTGCTACCTTGGCCAGGTCTCTCTTGTAAAAGAGATGTTTGATCTCAAAGAGACTTCCTGGTAAAATAAAGGTAAAAAAATAAATAAAAAAAAGTCTCAAGTCTTTGGGGTCCAAGTCCAATTCCAAGTCTCAAGTCTTTGGATCCAAGTCCTAGTCAAGTCTCAATCTTTGGGTCCAAGTCCAAGTCTCACGTCTTTGGGTCAAAGTCCTGTCTCAAGTCTTTGTTCTTTTTTTATTTGTTTTTTTTGTGTTTTTTTTGCAATAGGTATATCAGCTAGTTATTGTAATTAACAGCTTTTTAAAACAATTCAACTGATTTCTGCTTCAAAAGCACAACAAATTATTACTTAAATCATTAATTTAATATTTTATTCACAACAGAAAACTATTACTTTCAATCTATATAACATTATACCGTTTTGGAACGCAGGGACAGTCACCATGAGAAAAAAAAGCATGCTGTGAATTTTTAGGTATTTGAGTTAAATTACATTCATATAGAATACTAGATTTATAATTGTGTTTTATTCACAAAGGTCACCAGTATTTGCCTGTCACAATTAACATTGAGGTATTACCACTTAACGTAAACTAAATTTTGAATTTCAAAGAGCCGATACAGGTTTCTGGATCCCTGTGGTGGACTGGTGGATGCTGTCAGATTGAGGTAGTCTGATGCATCCTTCACAACAGAGCATATAGATCCAGCCTGCCTGGTGCTAAATGTTTTCAGCACTATATTTTTGAGCATGTTTGTTCCATTACCATATTTGCATAATTCCTTTAGTGAATTAGATGCTAGAAGCATGAACTTGGAGACCTGCAAGGGCTGAGGGTGCCATTTGAGACAGGGCCAGAGAAAGGACAGATGGATAGATGGCATGAGAAAGAGGAGAAAGATTAAAGAGAAAATAGATGAGCGAAAGGTAAGAAATATGAAGAGAAGGACTGGATGAACGATAAGAGGAGATTTATGGAGGTGTGATCTGACCTTGCGGTGCTCCTGCAGGTTGAGTGAGGATGAGCACTTCTTACTACAGATGGTGCATACCAACTTCCTGCGAGCACTCCCTACACACACACACACAGATCATACATCACATGAGCGGTAGATCCTAATGGCATGAGGAGATGCTAATGGAGACACTGCATCAGTTCAAACAGTCTTTCAAATAAACATCAGGAAGTCCTTAAATAAATCAGTTCCTGGTTCAGCATGAGGTACACCACCAACAACTATATCTAACAGGGGTGAAAGGTCAGCTAACATGTACTCCTGTAGAGAAGTAAGTGGATACAAGATCCGTCAATAACAGTTCTTAAAGCACTGGTATTTTAAAAGGCTTTAAAAGGCCATATTCTACCCTTTGTCGCACTGTATTCTGTTATAAATCCACTTTAATGTCAGTCAAGGTTTCTTGCAGTAAAAGCAATCGTAATTTAGGGTTTATTACACGACAATGATGTACTAAAATGGAAACGTTTTTCCTTTGCGTTTTTGAAAAGTTTTGTGTACAGACAAAACGTTGTCAAAACGATCCCCATTCACACAGATCCATCAAAGCGACTAAAAACGCTGTATTCTGCTGCCAGGCCAGTAGTTGGCGATGTCACTTTCGTAAACAAACACTACGCACATATGCATTCTTCTACGTATGTTTTCACAAATTCACATTTATGAAGTTTATACAGAGATGGTATCGCTATTAATAAAAAAAAAATATTGCACTTTGAAACTCGTTAGCTAAAGTTAGCATTTCCAGGCATTTCCAAACAAGACGTTTTCTGTTTTTAGTTGTCGTGTAAATGCCCCCCTTTGTTATTATTAGTATATATTTAGTTATTTTCCACCCTCTCACTGATACTTTTACTTTTTTTTTTTTGTACTGTATCTTTACAAATTTCAATATGTAAATGACCTCTCGTGATTGGTTAATTTCAGCATACTGGCAAGCTGTTGAAATTTAACAAGTGTTGCTATGTAACTGTGACCTATCACATGTTAACGAGGTAATGGCTGTGATATCATAACAAACCATGATGATTTCTGAGAGTTAAGTGTTAATATCGAAATTAGGTGAAATTTTGCGAGCAAAGAAGGTCTGTTATACACGAAACACTGCTTACTCAGAGGTCAGTTTCAAACTAAGCAGCATTATATAGTTCAGCACAGCGAATATGCATCTTAAAACTTGAATATGGCGCAAAATCTGCACGGATTCCCATTGAAATAACTGCATTTTGCCCATGGAAATTTGCCCATAAATTATAATTACTGATCATGTGTTTTATTTAACGTTAAAATAATATAATGTGAGTTTGAATATAATTTTGCATGACCCTTATAGCCGTACTGAAAGCGACAATGGATAATTCACCTCAGATCTTCAAAATATATTAAAGAAAACAAATATTTAAACTGTGAACTCAGTGCGAACAAACAAGTGTATTCTCCGACAAAGCTTGTTTCAGTCTCTCAGTGTTTATTTTTAAAAATGTAAATATTTATGAATTTGATTATGTGCTTATCTATTTTGTTGCAAGTGCAGTGCGCTTGCGGAGAGACTTCGCCCACACGCTCTTCTGATTGGCTGTGGCTCGTCTGGTTAGGACAGGGTGTTACTCGTGGTTTTGAGGATATTTTAACATCAAGAGTGATTCATCATCTTCTTGAGTCGGCTTTGACGTGAGCGTCAGAAGTTATTTAAATAAATAACCAAAACATTTTTGAAAATTGTGAAACGTTCACGCAATTGATATTTGTAAATAAACCATTTTTCTGCAAAAGAAACTGAAAGTATCAGTGCAGTGCATAACAAATTTGTAAGGTGATGTCTGTCAAATATGAGATGTTGGCATGCAAAGCGAGGTTGTTTATATAACAAAAAATTGAATATTGAAAACTTGACGCAGTGAGGACACTATTCCATCCCTTTCAGATTCAGAGCCAATATTTACAGCCCAGAATGCCCTGAACAATGGAGAAGACTAGTGTGAGAGTTTGCATTGTCAATGTTTACGTCTACATAGTACACCGAACCTTTATTTCAAAACAGCAAAAAAATGAAATGCTTGAAGTTGAAATGCTCTTATGATAGCAAAACACACACAATCATTTATGTACCTACAAGCACTTCCACAAGCGCCCAATAAATCGTTCAGCTTTACACTGTTTGGATTCATTTGCAAATAACCGATTGACTTGCATGAGGCCAAACGGTCCAATTATAATTACTGACAATAATATTGAAAACATTCTGAATCATGCTTTCATCAGGCGATTAGAGGTCTTTGACTAATTTCCTCAGTTGTCTGCGCTTCTGGCTGAGAGTCTGGTGAAAAGATGAGTGCAGAGAGGGAGGGAGCGCTTAACGTTTATCTGACAGACAGAGGGGATGAAGAGCGGATCAGAAACCAGGAGATTAATGAAGATGTTAAACAGCCGCTGATTAGACTCTCATTACAGACGGGTAATTTCACACTCGCCGTGTGTGTGTGTGTGTGTGTGACAAACCTGTGTGGACGTTGCCTTTGTGTTTCTTCAGGGCGTCTTTACTTTTAAATCTTTTCCCACAGCTCTCCGACTTACAGATGAACCGACCATCTCCTTTACACGCCTCTTTATGCTGCTCAAAACTGTCACACACACAAAGAGAATATGTGTTCAAAATCAACATAAAACACTGTCTCCAACCAACTGTAATGCTCCTGTAATTCCAGGTGAAACCGAATATTCAATGCAAAAATATATGGATGGTGAAAAGTGAGCATTGCGCATTAGAATGGAAACGATCGCTACGTTTGATTGCTACATTAGCCGGTTCGGTGCGGTAAGGCGACTCCAGATTGGTGTACCTGGACTCTGAACAGAAAGTGCTGTGACACAGGACACACTGATGAACTTTTGAAGGGTCTTCTGATGAAGCTGAGCTCTCTGTACAGTGAAGAACACTACCAATAAACAGGATATCAGCATTACCACACATGAGACGCTGTACATACTGTGAGTGTGTGTGTGTGTGTGTGTGTGTGTGTGTGTGTGTGTGTGGTACTGACTGGCGCTGCAGGGCCTGTTTGACAGGAAACTCTTTTCCGCAGGAGCGACATTTAAACTCTTTGTCCTCTGTACTTCCTCTCTGATGGAAGCTCTGAAGATGCTCCGCTAACATGTCTTCACTGGGGAAGTTGTTCTCACACAGCAGACATGGGTAATCTTCATTCTTAATCACCAGCTCTGCACACACACACACACAGATATACAAACTACTGCTCGACTGATGTGAGTTTTGCAACGGCAGATAATGCTAGCATATTTATCATAAAACATAATGAAAGCAGTGGATAAGCAGTTTGAACCCATTTCTGTCACATTTGTCATATAATAATACCTTTTTTCTTACAAATAATGTTTCAATGTCTGATTTTAGAAAGTCTAGAGTAGAAAAAAATCAAGCAAAAAAGAATATCTTTATTATATCTGAATGATGAATGATTATGTTTGATTAACCCAAAAAAGTCTACTTTATCTGAAAAAACTAAAGTAAACATAAGAATGACTTATATTAAATTACTATTATACTAAATCCTTTATTAAAAACTATATTAAAATCCATTCCAGACACAGTAAACACACACCGGTTTCTGTGCTGAGGTGTTTGCTCTCTTTACTGTTCTCCTCTTCCTCTTTGATGTCCTGATCTTCCTCCAGGTCCTCCTCTTCCTCCTCCATGTCACTGTCCAGGTAACCAATCAGAAGCTCCGTATCTGTCGCAATGTCATCAACAGCCAGATAGAAGATATTTTCTCCATCCTGTTAAAAGGAACAGTGTCAGGTACTTCATTCAGCAAGAATATGATATTTCTATTTGAAAAAAATGCTGTTCTTCAGAAATTTCTATAAAAATGTATCACGGTTTCCACAAAAATATGAATCAGCACAACTGTTTTCAACACTGATAATAATCAGAAATGTTTCTTGAGCGGCAAATCAGCATTTTATGTCCCCATGAAACAATTTATTTCATAATATTTTAATAAACTTTCATGCCAAATGGTTTTTCATGCATAATGGTTAGTACCTAAGGATTGAAGCACTTGACAGACAAATTCCCAAGTCCCCAATCATGTTTTCTCAACTCTTTGACATAAAATACTGTTTATTTTGATTGCGATTGAACTTTTTTTTTTGTAAAATCATTCAATTAGTTTATGTCCCACAAACTTCAGTCCACCCTGTTACATTGGTGCCAAATGTCCTTTAAAATCTTAAGCATATTCGCTAAATCACATGACTTGCAAGAAGCGACATCATTTCCTTAGAGGGAAGGAAACTCCAAGAACAAAGTATTAGTCATACACTTTTATCTGTCCACCCTGTTGAGTCTGTTTATACTGGACGTGAATTTGTTGTTTATTTTATGAAACAGATTTTAAATATCTCCTTAAATTCGTTAATCTTCAGCTAGCATGTTGTTCCTTCCTAGATGGTTTATTATCGGCCTTTATCATCTTAAAACGTCCACCCTGTTAGACGCTGTATTGTAAATATGTCATGTAACAGGGTGGACAAATGCCATAGAAAGTGAAATTTGAAATATTTGGTCAGGATTATTAGGTTCTACTAGCCTGAGCTTGACTAGTATGTTGTTGTGTTTTTATGATGATAGAAAGACATTTTCTCTCTCTGACTAGATTAAAAAATAATTGAGTTTTAAAAATGTTTTCAACAAACCTGCTCAGTCCAAAATTCACCAAACCGTAGGAATGACCTAACAAACATAAACATCAGCTCTTGGTATTAGACACATTTCTATATCAGAATCTTTAACATAACTTTTGATTTTTTAAGTTGTTGATAACTACTGGATATTATTTTTATTTAAAACTGAAACACTAAAAGAAAGACTTTCCATTTAAATGACCCCATTAAATGTCTCCAGTCATAAGTTATAAACGCCAAAGGATTCGGCTTGCTGGCCCCTGTGTGCTCAGAAATTATGACTTTTCCATAACTTTTAACATTGTTGTATTAATTTCCAACCTTCTGAAATCACCTTATTTTTCCAGGTTCTCCATGAGCATAGGAAACCCGTGTGAGTGAACGCCTACACTTTATTAAGTTGAGTTAAAGCAGTCAGCAAAGTTTCGTCTGGTTCAATTTCAATATAAAAAAGCACTACTAGCATCAATTGTGTAAATCTATCAAATGTGTCTTATTACAATGGGAATAAACTGAATTAGACGTTGAAAAGCAAAGATCCAGGTGTCGTCTGACACTGAACAGACAACATAACAGAGAACCGCTGGGAGGAGCAATCAAACATTCACACGAGGGGAAGCGCAAGATCAACAGTGCATCCTGATTAAGGTCAAAGGGCAAACACTTCAACCTCTGTTTAATGGCTTGATCAGACCTTCATTTCCTAAAAGGTCATGCAGAAATAAGCACAGTTGCTGTACATTATGTTAAAACCGGAGCCAGAGATGTATCCACAGGGAGATGCTGAGAGGAGTGTCATGTGTGATGAAACGCAGACTCGGTTCTCTTGATTTGGTCGTAATGGCCATCAGATCGTCAAGGTCTCAAACTCACCAGAGACCCACAACTGGCAAAAAATCATACACCAGCACTCTTATGCTTTCGCAAATGATTCTTCATCCATATATGCAAAAAAAAAAAAAAAAAAAAACGATAAAAAAAAGTAAATGTAAAATTTTATTAAAATGATGAATAATTTAGTTAAAGCTGCAGTCCGTAACTTTTTGGGTTAAAAAAATTTCCAAAATAATTTTTTGAGCAAGTACATAACCAGCCAGTGTTCAAAACTCTCTGCTTACCTTCGCTCGATTCAAAGCGGTAAGCTTGTAATAATGTTTTAATTTCAGCGGTACTGGTGGATTTCCGTGGGAGATTCGAGCATGTCTTTGCGTCATTACGTCACATCTGTACACACACATCTGTACACTCACATCTGTACACTCACGTCTGTACACATAAAGAAGAGTCTCGGCTAGTAGGCTATATTGAGTCATTACGTCACGTCTGTACACATAAAGAAGAGTCTCGGCTAGTAGGCTATATTGAGTCATTACGTCACGTCTGTACACATAAAGAAGAGTCTCGGCTAGTAGACTATATTGAGTCATTACGTCACATCTGTACACATAAAGAAGAGTCTCGGCTAGTAGGCTATATTGAGTCATTACGTCACGTCTGTACACATAAAGAAGAGTCTCGGCTAGTAGACTATATTGAGTCATTACGTCACATCTGTACACATAAAGAAGAGTCTCGGCTAGTAGACTATATTGAGTCATTACGTCACGTCTGTACACATAAAGAAGAGTCTCGGCTAGTAGACTATATTGAGTCATTACGTCACATCTGTACACATAAAGAAGAGTCTCGGCTAGTAGACTATATTGAGTCATTACGTCACATCTGTACACATAAAGAAGAGTCTCGGCTAGTAGGCTATATTGAGTCATTACGTCACGTCTGTACACATAAAGAAGAGTCTCGGCTAGTAGACTATATTGAGTCATTACGTCACATCTGTACACATAAAGAAGAGTCTCGGCTAGTAGACTATATTGAGTCATTACGTCACGTCTGTACACATAAAGAAGAGTCTCGGCTAGTAGACTATATTGAGTCATTACGTCACATCTGTACACATAAAGAAGAGTCTCGGCTAGTAGACTATATTGAGTCATTACGTCACATCTGTACACATAAAGAAGAGTCTCGGCTAGTAGGCTAAATTGAGTCATTACGTCACGTCTGTACACATAAAGAAGAGTCTCGGCTAGTAGACTATATTGAGTCATTACGTCACATCTGTACACATAAAGAAGAGTCTCGGCTAGTAGGCTATATTGAGTCATTACGTCACATCTGTACACATAAAGAAGAGTCTCGGCTAGTAGACTATATTGAGTCATTACGTCACGTCTGTACACATAAAGAAGAGTCTCGGCTAGTAGACTATATTGAGTCATTACGTCACATCTGTACACATAAAGAAGAGTCTCGGCTAGTAGGCTATATTGAGTCATTACGTCACATCTGTACACATAAAGAAGAGTCTCGGCTAGTAGACTATATTGAGTCATTACGTCACATCTGTACACATAAAGAAGAGTCTCGGCTAGTAGGCTAAATTGAGTCATTACGTCACGTCTGTACACATAAAGAAGAGTCTCGGCTAGTAGACTATATTGAGTCATTACGTCACATCTGTACACATAAAGAAGAGTCTCGGCTAGTAGGCTATATTGAGTCATTACGTCACATCTGTACACATAAAGAAGAGTCTCGGCTAGTAGACTATATTGAGTCATTACGTCACGTCTGTACACATAAAGAAGAGTCTCGGCTAGTAGACTATATTGAGTCATTACGTCACATCTGTACACATAAAGAAGAGTCTCGGCTAGTAGACTATATTGAGTCATTACGTCACATCTGTACACATAAAGAAGAGTCTCGGCTAGTAGGCTATATTGAGTCATTACGTCACATCTGTAAACATAAAGAAGAGTCTCGGCTAGTAGACTATATTGAGTCATTACGTCACATCTGTACACATAAAGAAGAGTCTCGGCTAGTAGGCTATATTGAGTCATTACGTCACATCTGTAAACATAAAGAAGAGTCTCGGCTAGTAGACTATATTGAGTCATTACGTCACATCTGTACACATAAAGGAGGAGTCTCGGCTAGTAGACTATATTGAGTCATTACGTCACATCTGTACACATAAAGAAGAGTCTCGGCTAGTAGGCTATATTGAGTCATTACGTCACATCTGTACACATAAAGAAGAGTCTCGGCTAGTAGGCTATATTGAGTCATTACGTCACATCTGTACACATAAAGAAGAGTCTCGGCTAGTAGACTATATTGAGTCATTACGTCACATCTGTACACATAAAGAAGAGTCTCGGCTAGTAGGCTATATTGAGTCATTACGTCACATCTGTACACATAAAGAAGAGTCTCGGCTAGTAGGCTATATTGAGTCATTACGTCACATCTGTACACATAAAGAAGAGTCTCGGCTAGTAGACTATATTGAGTCATTACGTCACATCTGTACACATAAAGAAGAGTCTCGGCTAGTAGACTATATTGAGTCATTACGTCACATCTGTACACATAAAGAAGAGTCTCGGCTAGTAGGCTATATTGAGTCATTACGTCACATCTGTACACATAAAGAAGAGTCTCGGCTAGTAGGCTATATTGAGTCATTACGTCACATCTGTACACATAAAGAAGAGTCTCGGCTAGTAGACTATATTGAGTCATTACGTCACATCTGTACACATAAAGAAGAGTCTCGGCTAGTAGGCTATATTGAGTCATTACGTCACATCTGTACACATAAAGAAGAGTCTCGGCTAGTAGGCTATATTGAGTCATTACGTCACATCTGTACACATAAAGAAGAGTCTCGGCTAGTAGGCTATATTGAGTCATTACGTCACATCTGTACACATAAAGTAGAGTCTCGGCTAGTAGACTATATTGAGTCATTACGTCACGTCTGTACACATAAAGAAGAGTCTCGGCTAGTAGGCTATATTGAGTCATTACGTCACATCTGTACACATAAAGAAGAGTCTCGGCTAGTAGGCTATATTGAGTCATTACGTCACGTCTGTACACATAAAGAAGAGTCTCGGCTAGTAGACTATATTGAGTCATTACGTCACATCTGTACACATAAAGAAGAGTCTCCGCTAGTAGACTATATTGAGTCATTACGTCACATCTGTACACATAAAGAAGAGTCTCGGCTAGTA